ATGGTGATTGTCTGCATTCCTTGGCTGGGGAGTTACAGATTTGAGGAGATTAAAACACATTCCAACATTCTACTAGTATTATAAACAATGAGAACATGCCTTTTCTTGCCGCAAGAATCTAGAGAAGCAGAAGATGGCAGGCCTGGAGGCACAGAAGAGGCCGCTGATGTTGGCAGCGTTGAACGGGCTCTCGGTGGCTCGAGTCTCAGGGCGGGAAGAGAATCGAGTTGATGCCACCCGGGTTCCCATGGACGAGAGGGTAAGTGGCAGGCTTGTCAAATGTGATTCATTCTCTGTAGTCTGAGGATCCCAAAACACCCTCCTTCCTCGAATATGCCAGCACTGAGATTTGTGTGATGCATTATTTCTTCAATCTGAGATTAGGAAGATGAGGCATAACTGTGTTGCATTAAATCAGTCCCTTCCAGCATCTCCTGTTTCTCCATTCTGGTCTTCCTGCTTTGTCTGGTTGGCGGATCATTGGTTACCTAAAACCAGCAGCCCCTAACATGCTGTATGACTTGGTCAAGTCACTCAATTTCTTTGGGCCTGCTTCCTTTCTTGTAAAATGCACAAGTTAAACGCTTGCGGTAGCTCTCAATTTCTATGATTTTTGTGAACAATTGCCATTTCTTAGGAAGTGATTATTTTATCCAATCATTTATTTTTATTTTTAATTTTTTAAAAACTTTTAGTTTTGGGGGCACATGTGAAAGTTTATTACATAGGTAAACACGTGTCACAGGGGTTTGTTGTACGTATTATTTCATCATCCAGGTGTCAAGCTCAGTACCCCATGGTTACCTTTTCTGTTCCTCTCCCCGCTTCCACCCTCCATCCTCAAGTAGGCCCCAGTGTCTGTTGTTTCCGTCTTTGTGTTCGTAAATTCTTATCATTTAGCCCCCACTTATAAGTGAGAACATGCAGTATTTGGTTTTCTGTTTCTGCGTTAGTTTGCTGAGGAAAATCGCCTTCAGTTTCTTCCATGTTTCCCGCAAAAGACATGACCTTTTATCTAAGCATTTATAGAGTTCTTTAAAAATGCTGTCCCCTCATATGACCATAAAATGAGGCTGATTTATAATCGTCTGGATAATGCATTGTGAAAACATGGGTTTTGAAAAGCAGAAAGCAGCTGCATGGTAGTGTTTTAGAGGTGAAGAAAGGTGTATCCTTAGTTCCTGAAGTTGCTGTCAGAAGGTTGATAAACAGGTTGTATAAATGTAATAGAGTACTAATAACATTAGGGTGTTCGATTTCTGCCAGTATGTATCCAGAATTAGAATGTTTTTAAAGCCAGAAGGGACTTTAGAGGAATCATTTAACCCAATTAATACCATGTTATTGTAATTATTAGTTTGGCCAGGGAAGAGGTAAAAAGAGAGAGATTTAATCCTCAGAGCTATAGAACTGTGGACCCAGTGTCATCTTAAAAGCAACTACATAGGTGGAGAAAAGGATGTTTGGATAATTAAAATGAACAGTCTTTTTATCATTAGGACTTTAAACAGAGTTGTTAATAGCAAAAAATACTGATTTTTGAATTTTAACTCTTGCTAGTTCTTGCAGATTTGTTCTACTTATGAGTAAAAAGGAAAATGGTTATTAGACAAGGGAAACAATCAATATGGTTGATAAGGAGACAAACCAAGTATTGATTGTACAACTTGAAATCTCTTATTAATACAATCGCTAAATATTTAAAGAAATTTGGTTGTTTCATTGAGTTTTTGGATCAGATAATTTAGAGAGCTGAAGATCAATTTCTGTTGCAGTTCAGAACCCTGAAGAAGAAACTAGAAGAGGGAATGGTGTTCACAGAATATGAGCAAATTCCAAAGAAAAAGGCCAATGGCATTTTCAGCACAGCAGCTCTGCCAGAAAATGCCGAGCGCAGCCGAATCCGTGAAGTTGTCCCCTATGAGGAGAATCGAGTAGAGCTGATACCAACCAAAGAAAATAACACGGGATATATTAACGCCTCTCACATCAAGGTAGGAAGGCAAGCCTGTTAGAAGGTTTGTTAAAGATGGCTGGGTTAAAGGTAAAAATGCGGGGAGAAGAAAATGTGTGGGCTGCAGCTGTACCTTTTGGCTTGTCCCCAGACCCTCAGGGATTGTTTTTGAACTCCTGTGCTTTTCTTAGTCAGGTGGAAAGGCATGTCTATCACTGCAGAGAGAAGGAAGTCTAGCAGCCTCAGGAAGAACCTCCGGTCAGGGATTTCTGAAGCTCACTCATGACAGAGGCCTTAACTTTTCCTTCTCTCTGTGGGCTGTAACTCTGTCTATACTCACAGGAAAAACTGAAGATTATCCATTTTGGTTTGTAATTAGCAGAGGTGGAGACTTTGGAAGTTACAGGTATTGCGTTACTGACATTAAGGTGTTATGTTCAATAACAACAGAAACTATTGTTTCTCCCTTATAATACTGCGGGTTATGCATTTTATAAAAGCACAAGTCCTATTATTGCATGGTATTTAGAAGAGTGGAGTAATTTTCACCTGCACTCTAAAAGTGTGGTTAATATTGAATCTTGAAAGATGTGCCACATTAGTCAATGAATTTGTGTTAGTAAGTTTTTGTTATTATTTCAAATACTTTAAACCTTTGTATGTCAGTATTACATAGTTTAGCACTTCTGCAGTTGAGTTATGGATACATGTGTACATGTAGTTAAATGTTTCTTAAATAGCTTACCTTCCTCAGAGTTCCTGTTAACAGAGGACACTTATTTAGAATGTCACCATTTGCTCTGAACTCTGAAGTGGGAGATTTGTTCATCTATTAATGTTAAAGCCATTGTTATAGGATGTTGTTAAATAATACAAGGTTCAATTAATAGTCCACTGTGATCAATAGCCTCAGAAACCTATTTTCGGCCTTGTCTAGAATTATTTGCTTTCCTCATTGGACTTTTCAACTGTAGCAGAATTATTAACAGGTTTTATTGAGCCTCTAAAGGCTAGTTAGGTATCTAGTTTGTGTGTCAATTATAACTAGTTTTGATACAGAATGTGAAAAGTATAGCATGGTTGGGTATATAGTATTTTTATTAATATACACAGATAACCATAGTTTTTAATAATTAGAAAGTACTGCCAAAAGAAATATAAAAGAGTAACTATCATAGATCATATTACTAATTTTTATTTGGATTTTTGAGAGTGAGAAGTAAAAAATGAACTCTAGGAAACTCTTAAATAAACTGTCAGTGGTGGGTTTCATGGGCTTAGTTTAGATTATGAAACAATGACCAACGTAATGTATTCAAACAAGGATGCAGATCACACAGCTGCTTCTTGATAGAGTGTCTGTGAAGATCTTACATAGCAATATTATATTATCTTCTTCTTTTGGCCAGATCTCTCCCACTATTTTCCATCTGCTCTCTGAAAAAAGCTGTCACTTTGTATAAACTGTGCCCATCGGGCATTGTTAACTGAGAAGCATTCCCTTCCTTGGTATTCTCTGTGGCCCACATTTCATCCTGTGGATCCGGGTTAGACATGGGTGCATTTAATAGACCCATGGAGCTTGCAAGAACTTGTCCCTGTGTTTTGGAATAGAGGTGTATGTTTTGCCAATGTTTTCCCCCCTGGGTTCCAAGCAGCCGTTAACACAGAACAGAGATTTATTTGCTCCAGAGGTGGAATCACATCTGTGAAATCTACCTCAGTAGCACTGCTTGTTGTGTTTTTAATGCAGTTTTTAATACCCTCCTGTCAATACTTGGAATATGCTGAAAGGCCCCAGGCAGCAGCAGCATTCTCTGGAAGTATTTATGTTTCCTATACGTTGGGTGCCAGAGAGGCTAATGTTTAAAATCACAATTCCACGGATAAACCAAACTCCTAGCCAGCAAATATATGAATGTTATCTCCCACCAGTATTTGGAAAATGGATTTTTCTTGCCAGCTTTGACCTAAACATGTCTTGTGTAATGAGACAGTAACTTACATTGTTTTTGTTTGAATCAAGTTAGCATACAGTTTTATCAAATAAATGAGGGAAAGAAGTTTCAAACAATGATGACTTCATTGCTTTTTGAACTCTCCAGAGATCTGCATTGCATAGATGTAGAAGGGGCCTGCCTTTGCAATATCAAGGCACAGAGCTGGAAGGGAGAATAGAAAGAATTCCTCCAAAGGCCACCATTTCACCTTGACAGCATGACCTTTAACACTTTGGGTACAACTTCTTATTTATGGTTCTCTGCAGCTAGTATTTATAGCTGTAGAATTATCTTCCCCTGATCACCCTGAGCCGCAGGGGTAATAATTTTATTATCCAAAGTCATGTCATGACTGTAGTTCAGTTGGATGCCATGGTACTACCAAGGTGAAGTTATTGATAAAATATTATATGCTGTTGACAAGAGCATTTGTAGCATCTCTGCCGTGCATGGCACCACAGAGCAGCAGTGACAGCAGACGTTTATGATACACTTCATCTCAGATCCACAGGAGAAAGATAGTGCTCCAAAAGGGATGTTGTTTCATGGCCTTTTTTTTTTTTTTTTTAAATTGTTTAATTGGATACCATGAAGCACTGTTTTTCAAACTGGATTACAACACAGTGGTAGAATGTAAAATCAGTTTAGTGGTCATGACCAGGTGTGTGTGTGTGTGTGTCTGTGTGTGTCTGTGTGTGTTTTAATGAAATAGGCAAGAGAAAAGAATGGAAAGTGTCAGAGTACATTGCACATAATAAGCATAACTATTATTTCTGTAACAAATCCTAAGTTATACATGTTCATATGTATGCATATATACGTGTGTGTATGTGTATGGTTTTTAATAGGCACTAGTTTGCATATACTGTGAGTTACAAACAAAGATCAGGTAAAGGCCAGGCGCAATGGCTCAGACCTGTAATCCCAGCACTTTGGGAGGCTGAGATGGGCGGATCACCTGAAGTGAGGAGTTCAAGACCAGCCTGGCCAACATGGTGAAATTCCATCTCTAGAAAAATACAAAAATTAGCTGGGCATGATGGTGGGTGCCTGTAGCCCCAGCTCCTTGGGAGTCTGAGATGGGAGAATTGCTTGAACCCGGGAGGCTTGGGATTCAGTGAGCCAAGATCGTGCTACTGCATTCCTGCCTGGGCAACAGAGCAAGACTCAGTCTCAAAAACCAGGATTAGGTAAATGTTTTAATAGGCTTGAGTGGCAGAAAGTATTTTCATGTGAGAATGTGTCACTACACTAGCCTCTATAGTCTCAGGGATTTTGTTAATTGAACTAATTCATTTGGCCCCAAAAATAGATCCAAGGTTTTAAGGTAGATACAGATGGACAGGTGATGAGCAGGTAATGTTGTCCTGGACTTAGGGTTTATTTACCGATACTTTTCTTGGTTTTTAGGTGGTGGTTGGCGGGGCAGAATGGCACTACATAGCCACTCAGGGGCCCCTACCACACACGTGCCACGACTTCTGGCAGATGGTGTGGGAGCAAGGAGTGAATGTCATTGCCATGGTCACCGCAGAGGAGGTAAGGAGTATGGCCTACTCCACGTCCTTTTCCCTAGGGAAAGGGTGGCCAGAAGATGGGCTTTGTGCTGGCAACTTTGCTACACTATCCTTCTTCCTGCAGTGCTGTTTCTCTGCAAATGCTTTTCTCTTTGGTATACATCTGTTTTCTTACTTCCAGCTAGATATTTTTCCCCCAGAGATAATTGATTGTTGTGGCTTTCCCTCCTCCCATTTTCTTCTTTCTTTTAACTCTTTTCCTTGGATTGTAATGCACTAAACTGAAAATAAAACAACAGAAAACCAAAAATGACCAGACTTGAGTTCAACCCGCTGACTTTGTGTACCAAACGAAAACAGTGATCTTTCCACTGGAATTTGGGAGTCTCAGGCTGCTCTGGGCAAATCGACATAGATGCCCAACTCCAGGCACCCAGCTCCGCATGCCACCATGCTTATCAGCTGAAAAGAGACCAGAAGCTGTTGTTCCTGGAGAGGCCTCTGTTCTTTGGTGGAAGAAAAAATATCTTTTTCTTCTTTTGCCAAGCCAAACATAGTTTTTCTGCTGTAACTAGAGAACTCTATGTGATGTTATAAAAAACCAGCCTACACTGCCAGTCAATTCAGTCAGTGTTGCTGTCTTTGCAGGGAGAAGTGTTGTGTTTCTTCTCTTGTCACATTCTCAAAATTTCTTTAACCACCTTCTTTTATTTCTTTCATTAAATTCCAGTTTATGTTTTGAAATCATTCAAGGGACTGACTAGTTTCATCTGTGTTTACCAATATCCGTGGTATTGCAATGGCCTTTCCTAGCTACGTTAAAGGGGTCAGGAACAAAGAAAACTGGGGAGGAAAAAGTCATATTTTTCTTCATTGACTGTTTTGAGCATTGGCTTTTCAGCACAGTCCATTAGAAGAAAATAATGAAAGGGACATCAGGCTCTTTAAAGCCAGTTGTACTTCCCTGGGCTGACCTGTTTGACCTTCCCACAAAGAGAATGAATCCTCCTTAAAGCTTCTAGAATAGATTTATCACCTTATCAGATCACACCATTGCAAGGCATTCATTCACCTAAATACAGCGTACCATCTGTGCTAACTTCAGGAGTACATGGTAATAAACGAGACAGGCACCATCCCTGTCCCCATAGAGCTTATGTCCTAGTGGGAGGGACATTCAGAAGTGAACAAATAAAATAAGTGCAGTTAGCAGTAAGTGCCATGGCAAAAATGGAAAACTACAGTCCAGAGTGGGTCTGGGTGAGTACAGGTCTTTCTGCCTCGTCCCGCCTCCTCTTTGTGTGGGTTTCAGCTGCAAAACGGTCATTCACACTAGGGGACTCCTACTAAAGGGTAGCTTCACGATGTGCAACCCTGAGGTCCAGACTCTCTATCATGTCACACACTTGCTGGAAGGCTGGAAATGAAAACCTTATTAATAGGAGCATAAATTCAAGGGAGAAAATTTTTAAAAATGGAAAACGGGTTAAGAAAGAGAGTGACTGGGGGCTATTTGAGATCAGGGCATGGCCAAGGACCTTCCGAGGAAGTGGCATTGGAGGTGAGACCGGAGTGACAAGGGGCCAGCCTTGCCAAGACAAAGTAGCATCTAGTGATCTGTGGGACAGCTGGGGACTTACAGCCTTTTAAAATCCATAACTGATTTAGACACTCAGCAGAAATGTAAATTCGAGGTAAATCTGCTTTCATAGGATTGGTAAATAAAAGAGGAAGGTGTGCTTCCAACTTAAGGAGACTCAGTTAAACCAAATGAAGCCAGGCAAGGTAATTTATATATTCCCCAAATTATATATAAATATATAATTTATATATTCCCCAAAGATGTGTTGCTTTACAAGTGGGCTTTACAAGAGGAACCCTAATGTTCCTCTAAACAGCCATCAGGGTTCCCAGAGCCTGTCACCACTGCAGCTCTGTGTGTTCAGTGCTCCTTCTCTCTCACCACCTACTCCTTGCCCTGAATCTCCTCAGCTACCGCCTCCTCCACACTCCGCCCCTTCTCCAGGGATTTTAAAACTGCAGAACTGAAACATAGACCTTGTGTAAATGGTTGAGAGTACATATTCTCAGAAAAGATTATAAAATCAAGGGAGAAAGAATGGTGATTTAACCAGCTGTTCTCAGTTCTAGTTGTAGATGGAACCAGAACGCATTGGTCAGACTGAAACAAATGTGAGATCAACACTAGATAAAGACAATGTCGGTAGTCTGTGCTGTAACAGAAAGAGCTCTGCACTGAACATCCAAAAGGAGTAGCATGACCTAGAGCGATTGCTGGAACCCCTTCCCCACTTATGTAAAACCTTTGAATGACTTCCCATTGCCCCTGGGGTGAAATTCAAACTTTCCACCATGGACTGTGAGGCCTTTCCAGTTTCCTGTCCGACCACCTGCCCCCTCACATGTCACACTCCAGCCACCCCGAAGACCTTCATTTCTTGAATGCACCAAGCTTGTTCCTGCTTCTAGACTTTGCACTTGCACTTCTCTCTAACATTCCACTGCACCTCCGTTGTGAATCTTTTAAATTTTCCATTGATGTAACTGTCATTGTAAATTGTGTTATTGGTCTTAACTAGCATGTATAGGATTTACCCTGTACAGTGTAGACACTGCAGAGTGCTACTGAACTAGCGATTTAGAAGCTATTTGCATTTTCTTCTGTCTTCACATCTTAGGATTAAAAGGATGAGAGCTTCCCTTGACCTATTTCCAATTTTGCTTTATATGTGATTTAGGAGGGTGGACGAACCAAAAGCCACCGATACTGGCCCAAACTGGGTTCCAAGCACAGCTCAGCCACCTATGGCAAGTTCAAGGTGACCACGAAGTTTCGAACAGATTCTGTTTGCTATGCAACCACAGGCTTGAAAGTCAAGCACCTTTTGTCTGGGCAAGAAAGGACAGTGTGGCATTTACAATATACTGACTGGCCAGATCACGGCTGTCCAGAGGACGTCCAAGGATTTTTATGTAAGTGTTTTTCTTCCCAGTCTGCTACCTGACTGACTTTTACCTACTGTGTCAATAATCCAGCCGTTGGAGATGAAATGGAAAAAGAGGATGCTTTCTCTTAAGTAGCAAAAGTATTATAATATTGAAATATATGTTCCTTCCTTATTATGTAGAACAGAGAAGAATAATACATGTCACTTATTCTGTTTGCCTTTCATACGCATAAGCTAAGACTGTGATCAACATATTGGCTTTACCTTGATTCAGACCTTTAGCTACTCATTTAATCGGTAACTATTCTGACACATGCTACAACAAGGATGAACCTTGAGGAATGATGCTGAGTGGAGATAATCCAGTCACAAAAGGACGAAAATTGCATGATTCCACTTATATGAGGTACCTAGAATAGGCAAGGTCAGAGGCAGAAAGTAGGTGAGAGGTTACCGGGGTTGCGGCAAAGGGGGATTCGGGAATTACACATTTTTTATTTTTTGAGGTGGAGTCTCACTCTGTCATCCAGGCTAGAGTGCAGTGGCACGACCTCAGCTCACTGCAGCCTCTGCCTCCCAGGTTCAAGCAATTCTCCTGCCTCAGCCTCCCACGTAGCTGGGACTACAGGCGCAGCCACCACGTCTACCTAATTTTTGTATTTTTAGTAGAGATGGGGTTTCACCATGTTGGCCAGGCTAGTCTTGAACTCCTGGCCTCAAGTGATCTGTCCGTGTCAGCCTCCCAGATTGCAGGGATTACAGGTGTGAGCCACCATGCCTAGCCAGGAATTACCATTTGATAGGTGCAGTATTTCTGTTTGGGACAGTGAAAAAGTACTGGACATGGATGATGGTGATGGTGGCACAACTATGAATATGCTTAATGCCACTGAACTGTGTACTTAAAAATGGTTAAACTGGTAAATAGTTGTGTCCACTTTGGCACATTAAAAAAAAGGAGAAATAAAATTTAAAAATAGGCCGGGCGTGGTGGCTCACACCTGTAATCCCAGCAATTTGGGAGGCTGAGGTGGGTGGATCACCTGAGGTGAGGAGTTTGAGACCAGTGTGGCCAACAGGGTGAAACCCCATCTCTGCTAAAAATACAAAATTAACCAGATGTGGTGGCGCATGTCTGTAATCCCAGCTACTGGGGAGACTGAGGCAGGAGAATCGCTTGAACCTGGGAGGCAGAGGTTGCAGTGAACCGAGATTGCATCATTGCACTCCAGTCTGGGCAACAAGAGCGAAACTCCATCTCATAAATAAATAAATAAATAAATAAATAAATAAATAAAGATATAAATAAATGAATAACATTAAAATTTTTTTCATGAAGGTTTGCATCTCACAAGCCCTATATTTCCCTACAGTCGTAAATCTCAGTACTTTCTCGTACTTTCTCATATTTTTATGAAGACACTAAGAAGTATTGAAACCCTCTTGTAGCTTTCGAAACTGAAATTTGCTCAATGGCTAATTAATTTCTATGTATGTGTATTTTTAGAATGTGGTTATATTAGAAACTAATTCACCAGATTATGTGCAGTATTTTTATTTGAACGGCCCCAAATTGGCCATGTACCCACTACATGCCAGGCACTGGATCGGGCTCTGAGAATGCAGAGATGACAGAGTTCAGTCTTCACTTTCAAGGTACTCAGAGCCTAATGGGAAAGACAGGCCAGTCATCATCATCCAAAGATGAGATCTGATACCCTCCTCTGCTTTTCAGTGGTGGCTGCAGCTCTCCCTCTTTCCACATGCTTGCCTAACTGTCCTGTGCTTGTCGGGAAACCCCATTCCTTACTCATCCAACTGGAAAGGAGCCCCAGATGCTCCCTGTAACCTTGTGCCTGCTCTGTTGTTGACTCTGTAGCTAGTGGAAGACCTGTGACCACCACAAAGGGACCATCATCCAGATGTTGGATAATGTCCAAACCTTGATTTTATTTTGGTATTCATTTAGAATGGGAGAAAAAGGGAATGAGAGAGAGAGAACAGGTTCTCAAGACCTAAAAATACTGATTTACAAGTTCCAGTAAATATTCTGATGTGTACTTATCCAGCAATACAAGCATTTCATTTCCGTGAAAGTGACGATGGTACTTGAGGGGTTTGGCACTGAAAGCAGAGAGTAGAAAGATGATTGGAGTCAGAGGATCTAGAGTAAGATCTAGAGAGGATTCGTGATTTGCCTGAGGTCAAATGGCTTGTTATCTGTAGCTTGAAATAAGGGCAGTGACCTTTGCAGAACTTCCCTTCCTCCTAACAGTGCTCATTGTATTTCTTTCAGCTGATCACGTGCTAACTGACTGATTAAAATTTTCTCTAAGAAGCAGAAAAGGGAAATAATATAAGTAGATCAGTTTGTTGATTGGCTAACAGCTCTGATGAAAGAGTGAGCTTATACAACACTTTAAAGAATAGCCTTTTAAATCAGAACCAATTAAGGAAAGCCTGTCTAAATTACCGAAAAATACATAGTAGTTTTAAAGAATGTAAATGTGTGTATTATGCTTTTAGGAAACTCAATACACGTATTCTGTGCAGGGCATTAGAAATGTTGAATCTGTTTCTCCTAGGTTTTAAAAGATTGTTTTGCCCATGTTTAAATTAGGTTACCTGGATGCAGAGTACCTAAGCCAAATTGTTTACTGCCCTCCAGAAGTCTTTATTGAGTTACGGCGTAAGGAACTTTAGTAATATGACTATAGAGGAAACATCCTTTAAATCCACCTCTCCATTACATGAAAAGCTCTATTTGAAAGTGGCATCTACTGTATTACCCAACATTCCTTTTGTTTTTCTTCTTAAATTTAGCTCAAGTAAAGCTTTGTCTCTTGTATGTAAATATTGCCTTTGGTCAGACAGAATACTCAGTTGCCTAACGTCTTTTCCCCCTCACAGAAAAAGTGTAAAGAAGATTCCACACACAATATCTAGCTTGTATTGGTACCTAATAGTAACTACTCCCTCTGTTCGTCTCACCATCTCCTTTTTTTTTTTTTTTTTTTTAATTGAGATGGAGTTTTGCTCTTGCTCAGGCTGGGGTGCAATGGCAGGATCTCGGCTCACTGCAACCTCCGCCTCCCAGTTTTAAGCAATTCTCCTGTCTCAGCCTTCCGAGTAGCTAGGAGTACTAGCTGGGATTACAGGCGCATGCCACCATGTCTGGCTAATTTTTGTATTTTTAGTAGAGACAGGAGTTCATCATCTTGGTCAGGCTGGTCCCGAACTCCTGACCTCAGGTGATCCGCCTGCCTCAGCGTCCTAAAGTGCTGGGATTACAGGAACGAGCCACCGCGCGCGGCCCTTCTTTTTTGTTTTGTCCTATCTCATGGTACATTACTACTACTACTAGTACTGCTCTGACTAGTACTAATAACTATTACTAGTCATCATCATCCTAGTAGTAGTAGTAGTGATAATAATAGTTTACTTTTTTGGTAAACTACTTCAGATTATTTTGTAATTAGGTAAGATTATAAAGGAAAGTGCGGGTTATTTATATATGTCTGTAAACAGGTGCTTTGAAATTATTTGAATGGTTCAAACCTACTTTTTTCTCTTCAACAATGTAAACATTTCCCCTATAGTCTGGTTTACACTTTTGCTTTAGGATGAGGTTCACTGAGTATCAAGAACCTTTAAATCTGTTTCTCTCCTGAGCTACTACAAAATCTAAATTATTAATTAAATTTTGGGGGTTTTTGGAGTGTCTGAGGATTACATTTCTATACTTTTCTCTTTTGTCATGGTTGTGAAAAAAGTCATTAAGGCTTGGAATCCTGTGATTTTTCTTTTGTGCCCAGTTGGAGTCATGAACACACCCCTCCCTGTACAGCCCTGCTGAGCCAAGCAGATGCTAGAAGGCATGGGGGGCATCATGACCCCCTCCACCTCACACACATATTGCCTCCAGAAAGGGGGTTCATCTTGGGCTACTCACATAGCCCCATGGAATCCATGCTGAAAAGCAGACTCCCCAAAGTCTACTTTAACATCCAAAAATGAAGTCAAGCCTCAGTTGACATTCACTCATCAGTGAGGGGAAGGAAGAAGGGGCAGATGGATGCTCTCTCCCTACCAGAAATTGGCTCTGACAGGCGGGCGTTTCAAGGGGACTTAGCAGTTGTTCTGATCCCAGTCTGTTAATAGCAGGAATTGCTGTAAGTAATGTCTAGAATCATCTGCTTGGGGGACTTAGGGATTTGCAGAGGGGAAAACAGAATTTAATTTTTAAAAAAGAACTATTTAATTTAAAGAACAAATTCTCCCATGAACTAATTGACTCCCAGCTGGTCCTTTCTGGATCCAGGACTGTACATTGGGTACCAGCCAAATAATTAGTATCTTGTAAGAACTGTAAATTATTGTCACTTAAAAAAACACACACACACACATTCACCATCCGTTCTCTTCCGCTCCCCCCTCCCCAACTTATATGCAAAGCCATGGAGGACTTTGGTGACAGAATTTGCGTTTTGTCCTGCAGCCTACTTGGAGGAGATCCAGTCGGTCCGTCGCCATACCAACAGCATGCTGGAAGGCACCAAGAACCGGCACCCACCCATCGTGGTCCACTGTAGTGCTGGGGTGGGAAGGACCGGCGTGCTCATTCTTTCTGAGCTGATGATCTACTGCTTGGAGCATAACGAAGTGAGTCATTCTGGGCTTCTCTCCGGATACTCCACCTTGGGGACAAGTCTACACCCTTGCCCAACCTTTGCCCGCGCCCTTGCCTTTTCAGTGGTTAATTTCCTCTCTCCTGACCAGAGTTTTCCAGGCTCCTGGTTCCTAGTTTGACTCTGACATTTACAGTCCTCCTTATCTTTTTGCCCTCCCACTGCTCCATGTAGATATCCAGATAAAAGAGGAGAAATGAGGGCGTGCAATAGAAAACACTTAGAAAATGTGATCTTAGTCGGCATCTACTTCCAGAAGTCTTTGGCATTTTGTAGATAGCCTGGTTTCATTGTGGGTAATTTTCCATGGTGAGTTATTTGACCCCATATAGTTTAGATGCGTCTTGCATTTCTAGGATGTGTTCTGGCATAAATCCTAGGTGAAGATGTGTCTACTTGGAAAATGTTTTTCATTCTTCAGAGTGAGGTCTGGGGGGTTGTTTGCTTATCTAGTCTGGTAGTTGTGTGGTGTAGCGGAGCAGAGGAGATACTTAGAGCATGCAAACATCCCCGTCTTTGCATCGGCTGATCGCCCTACCCCTTCTTCCTGCAGAAGTGGGGTGCTGCTGAGCCTGTGCACACAAGGTACATGGCATCCCTTTGCTGCTGTAGGATTACGGAGTTACACTGAGAGACTTTGAATTTTGTGTAGGTGAGACAAACAGCAGTCAAAAGCTAAGGAATAGTTCTTCTACCTTCTAGCTACCTGGGACATTAGAATTTTTAAGGGCTTTTGCCTGCCATACCAGCCAAGTAGAGGAGCCATGCACATGTCACTCCTCCTGTTTCACAGAAGAGGAAACTGAGGCCCGGAAGTAATTATGTGATTCGTCTAGTGCCGTGTGGCTCTTACGCAGTGGTACTGAAGCCAGAAGCAAGGTCTTCTGTGTCTGAGTCCGGAGTTATTTCCTGTCTTCACTCTGCCTCCAAACGCTGTATAAGATTTGGTTCTTACTCAGTTTTCAAATTATATGGCTTGAAAAAGTAAAGGAAACTTGTGGTTTGGTAGTTCTTAAATTATAGAATGATTTGTTGCAATTCTGTGGAGGAATTTATATGATAATATACTATTTATTCAATAGCATGAATCGTTTGAAAATCAGATTAAATATGAAGTTTGTCATATTGAGTCTTCCAGGAAAACAACAAATGCTAAACTTAGACATTAAACTTTCTGCCTGTGAAATGATAATTTTGAGAATCTTCTAGTCTGTCCATGGGAATGAATGTTTGTGCCGCTAAAAATTGGAAAAGGGGCAATCCGAACTGTAGCCTAATGTTAGAAAAACATAAAACAAAGCTTGAGCGAAATGCTCATCATGGAATCAGTTGAGACTACATAACAGAAATGTCATTGCCCTCTGAGTTTGTACCATTTTGTCCCACATAGGATTTTTTTATTGTTCGCCTCTCTATTCCTCTCACTACTAGAGGTCTCTAGAAATTTCTAGAACAATGAGTAACCTGCCCACGGAGTCTCAATCCATCCATTGCTAGGAAGACAAAATAAGATGAGGTAGAATCAGTGTGTGCATGACTTGAGGGCCTCATCATCACCTCCCCCACCTAATTGTCCTGTCCTTCCCTTCATATCACTTTTGTCACCAAATTCCCCGCTTGTTTTCTTTTTTTTTCTTTTTTTTGAGAAAGGATTTTGCTGTGTTGCCCAAGCTGGTCTCAAACTCCTGGGCTCAAGCAATCCTCCCACCTCGGTCTCCCGAGTTGATGGGATTACAGCTGTGAGCCTGGCCACTCCCCTTCTTTCCCCGTTCCCTGTGCTCTGCTCCCAACTTCCCCTTTTCAACTCAAGAAGCCATTCTGTCTTGTCTGACATTAAAAACTATTCTGAGCTCTTTGGAGACCCGTCAAAGGCTGAGCCTCAGTGAGGTGATGACATGGGGGCTCACTGAACACCAGATGTTATTGGACCAGCAGAGCACAGACAAGGCATATCAAAGCCAGGACAGTTTGGAGTGAGGGATTCAGCCATTGTGGCCTCCTGTGGACTTGGTGAAGGCTCAGAGTGGTTAAATGCTCTATGGTGTGTCCAAACATAGCGGATTTCCTCAGTACCCAACTGCATGCCAGAACATTCTTTGCTGGGACGTGGTTAATCCAAAAAGAACTTCTGTTCCCATTGATATTCAAAGATAGCAAGATGACTCATATTCTTCACTTCACTTCCCCTAGCACAAATATAGCCAGTCTTATCTGTCCTATTTCCCATGGTTGCTATTGGTAGATGGTTGGGGGAAAAAAATGCTCTACTTTTGTTCTGATACTGTTTCAGGCCTGGCTAGTAAGATCCAAGCCCCTATTTCAGGAGAAGAGTAGACCATGTTTAGTTTGTTTGTTTTTCAAGCAAAGATTTTAACAAATATATATTAAATTGTGGGTCCCGTTTTTCTCCTGTCCAAACTCCCCTGCCTTCTTTCCACAGCTTCTGGATTTAACATACTTTATATTTTAGTCTGTAATTCTTGCAGTTTTAATTCTGTCAGTGAAACGACCTTTCCTTTTCGTGGACTTGTCCCTCTCAGTCTTATTCTAAACACAGAAAAGTTGAGCAGAAACAATGAAACGCAGACACTTACAATGAGGTTGGTAGCTGTGCGGTGGGGAGTGGGGACAACTGTCCCAGGCTGCTCTGGGAAGCCTCCCTGTGGCCCAGTGCTTTTGGTCACTGAGTGTTAGCTGAGGCATTTTAAGGTGCATAGAGTTTTTCAGAAAGCACTCATTTTATGGTCTGCAGTACACTCTCTCAGTCCTCTGGATGTAGCTGTCTGTTCCAGCTACAGCTAATTACAAAAACTTAGGATCTCAGTAGCCAAAAGGGCAGATGTCTTGATCTTGCTGCTTTTCTGAGTAAGTTATACCTCCTTCATAAAGTGAGGAGGAGAAAATGTCTTCTAGACAAGACTGAGCAAGTGTCAACTGCTTTGTGCTTCCTTGGCTTGGGGACAGTTAAGAGCAGAGCCTGTGGGAGTGAATGAATCTTTAAGCCAGCTGGGACCCTTTCATTGAAGACCAGGAGAACTTTCTTTGTCATGTCCCCAGACTTCTCCATATCAGACAATATACTGTCATTTAGGCTCAGTCCTACAGGTAATTGAGATGGGGATGATGGTAGAGGAGGAGGAGGAAGATGTGGTGGTGGAGGAGGTGGTGATGGTGACAACATTGAAAATAATATCTTAACAGCTAGCTTGTGTCTAGTGTTTGGCATGTATACGCACTATTCTAAAGCCTTATAGTATTAACACAAGTAGCCTTTGCAGTGACACTGTGCACCAAGTCCTGTTAGTACCTGTATTAGTCCATGCTCACACTGCTATAAAGAACTACCTGAGACTGGGTCATTTATGAAGGAAAGAGGTTTAGTTGACTCACAATTCTGCAGGCTGTACAGGAAGCATGGCTGGGAGGCCTCAGGAAACTTACAATCATAGTGAAGGGTGAAGGGGAAGTAAGCATGTCTTCACATGATAGCAGAAGAGAGAGAGCAAAAGGGGAAGTTAAAACATACTTTTAAACAACCAGATCTCATGAGAATTCCCTGTCACAAGAACAGCAAGAGGGAAATCTGCCCCCATGTTCCAATCACCTCCCACCAGGTCCCTCCCCCAACACTGGAGGTTACCATTCCACATGAGATTTGGGTGGAGACACAGAGCCAAGACCATGTCAGTATCCTTACATAACAGAAGAGAAACTGAGTCATAGGTAAATGAAGTAATGTGCCCGCTTCCCACAGCCAAGAAGTGGTAGAGCCGAGATTCAGCAGATGAAGCCTTACTTAGAGCCTGTGCTCTGAACACCAGTGTGATCCTGCCTCCCGACTAAAACCTTTGCTGGGTAGGGGAGCGGAACAGCCTTATTCTCTCTATTCTTTTAACTTCAGTGCCCAACCACAGAGTAATCCTCATCAAACATGAAATTAAGTTCATTATTAGGCGGCTCTAGATCACATCTCATGATACTGGTCACTTTGCAATATAATTTAGGCAGAGACCTACTTGTTACCATCAGAAGCTTATAACCTAGGTTCTGTATTTTGATTCATAGTTCGAAGATTCACATGCCTTTTTTTTCTTTTCTTACTAGGCAGGGACTTGACTTTGTCCGTTTGCACCACTGTGATTACACCACTGCACTCTAGCCCAGGCAACATCACAACTTTGTGATGTGCATTCCGTAGTTGGTGTTGAACAAGAGTGACTGATGGCACGTGTCATGTCATAACTATGCAGAGTTTGGAAATAGCTGAAATTATTTTTCAAGGTTCAAAGGTTACAAAGTTAAGCATACAGCTGAGTTTTTATTATTTTCTTTTAAACACTTGCTTAGCCCTTGAAAACTTCCTGGGTGCCATCATTTGCCCGGGGTTAAGAGCTCCCACAGCACAGTGAGTGTGCTGAGGCCACCATGGCCTCCACAGCTCGGGGGTGCTCCAGCCGTATATGTCCTGGCTGGTCCAGGAGGATGGACGTGGTGAAGGTGAGGGGAGAGGACACTGTGATGGCCTCTGGTCTGCTTAAGTATCCATGACACTGTATTAATTTCCTTTCATTAATGATAATATATATCATTGTATATACTATCAAATAATTCACACATAGGCAATCTCATTTAATACTCAAAATGTTCTCATTTAAGACTCAGGGCCAGGCACAGTGGCTCATACCCATAATGCTAAGACTTTTAGAGGCCAAAGCTGGAGGATTGCTTGAGCTCAGGAGTTTGAGACCAGCCTGGGCAACACAGTGAGACCTCGTTTCTACACAAAATTTTAAAAATAAGGCAGGTGTGGTGTGCCACATCTATAGTTCCAGCTACTCAGGAGGCTGAAGTGGGAGGATTGCTTGAGCCTAGGAGGTTGATGTTGCAATGAGTTACGATTGCACCACTGTACTCTAGCCTGGGCGACAGATCAAGACCCTGTCTCAAAAAAGGTGTTCTCGGCCAGGCACCGTGGCTCATGCCTGTAATCCCAGCACTTTGGGAGGCCGAGGTGGGCGGATCATGAGGTCAGGAGTTTGAGACCAGCCTGACCAACATGCTGAAACCCCAGCTCTACTAAAAAAATTAAAAAAAAAAAATTAGCCCGGCGTGGTGGCGCGTGCCTGTAATCCCAGCTACTCAGAAGGCTGAGGCAGGAGAATCGCTTGAACCTGGGGAGGCAGAGGTTGCAGTGAGCAGAGATCAAGCCACTGCATTCCAGCCAGGGCAACAGAGGAAGACTCCGTCTCAAAAAAAAAAAAAAAAAGTTCTCAGTTAAAGGCTTTTACTCCAAGTAGGACTGGTGTTCAGAAATGGTGCTTTGACATTTTAAAGGTTCACACTTAAATTATCTCACTTGATCATGACCACAGTCCTGTGAGATTATAATTGCATTAACAACATTTATTAATGTTAATAAAGGAATAATGAAGCCAGGCGCGGTGGCTCACGCCTGTAATCCCAGCACTTTGGGAGGCCAAAGCAGGTGGATCACCAGAGGTCAGGAGTTCAGGACCACCCTGGCCAACATGATGAAACCCTGTCTCTACTAAAATTACAAAAAATTAGCCAGGCGTGGTGGTGCACACCTGTAATCCCAGCTACTCCGGGGGCTGAGGCAGGAAACTCTCTTGAACCTGGGAGGCAGAGGTTGCAGTGAGCCGAGATCATACCACTAACCTCCAGCCTGGGCAACAAGAGTGAAACTCTGTCTCAAAAAAAAAAAAAAAAAAGGAATAATGAGTAATATTTATTAAGCACTCACTGTGCACTAAGTGCTTGATATGTGTTTCATCATTTGATCCCATGAGGCAGATGTTATTTCATACCCCATGTTATTACTGAGGAAATGTCACTAACTAGGGCAAGGCCACACTGCTGTTAGAGGAAAGCATTATTATCCTGATTTTACAGATGAGGAAACTAAGACCCTGAGATGTCTTAAATCCTGTCATTGGGTTGTGGTGGAGTTGAGAGTACCAGTCAGGTCTCACTCCAGCCTTTATGTTTTATCCAGCAGACTAGTCTGTATTTAAAATAATACACCAGGACAGGTGTGGTGGCCCACGCCTGTAACCCCAGCACTTTGGGAGACTCAGGTAGGAGGACTGCTTGAGCCCAGGAGTTGAAGGCTGCAGTGAACTATGACTGTGCCACTACATTCCAGCCTGGGTGACACAGCAAGACCCTCTCAGAAAATTTGAAATTAAATAAAAATAAAATATCCCACCAGTGACACATGATGACCAGGTTCTCCAGTTGCTGGTATAAACTGTTTGACACGTAAAACCCAGCCGGGGCAGAGTCCCTTGCTTTCTCTTATACCTGGGCATGGGCAGTGGGTGAGTGCTTCCTGAATGAGGGAATGAGGAATGCTCTAAGGGAAGCCTCCTGTCTCAGGACCTTGTGCTTTCTCTCTTTTCTTGCAGAAGGTGGAAGTGCCCATGATGCTGAGGCTCCTCAGGGAGCAGAGGATGTTCATGATCCAGACCATCGCTCAGTACAAGTTTGTCTACCAAGTCCTCATCCAGTTCCTCCAAAACTCCAGACTCATTTAATCCCCCAATCCAGCTCCTGGAGGAGGGACCCAACTCGATCGTGCAGGAGAGTCACCTCCAGAAAACATCTGCTCCCCCCGCGGGGGTGCAGGTGGCTGGCAGCAAGCAGGCTCTCTGAAGATAATAGCCAAGATTATTCACACATGCCATGTATTATTTTATATGAGATAATTTATTTTTTTCCCCTTTGGAATAACTTTTGTGAATTATTATAATGCAGTTTTCTTAATAATATAGTACTTTTCATTCGAACCACATTTTGACTGATCTGCATATATATGTCAGTAGGTAAGGTTGCCTGCTGGATCATTTTGGGGACAGAGGCATGAGGGAGCACATCTCTTGTGAAGTTGCAGCCGGATTTGTAACCAGCCCTGAAATTCATCAGCTTAATTCATTCATCATTCATTACTTATATCCAAAGCAAAGATGGTAAGAAAAGTAATTCATCCTGAAATATAAAGAAAAGGGTCTGAAGGAACAAGCACGATTCTCTTATATTTTGGGACTCATGAGCCTTGATAGACAGTTTCCTCTCTTCCTCATTTCTGCCCCTCATCCTCAGTAATCTCCTCTCCCCAACACCTCCCCCACCAACTTCCCCCCAAGCTTGAGTTAAAGACAGAACAGCTAAAGACGGTGCTGCCTTTACAGTGCAGTAACTGCCATCTTTGGGGCCGAAAGAGAAGCTCTGTGTTGCACTTTTCTTGACCACCCCTTATTCTGGGCTCTGGAGTTTGCGTTTCCCTGCTGGGCACTGTACCCTGGGTATTTGTTGCTACCTCTCCCGTTTGCTCAGTAGGACCCTGTCTGGTGGCATTGAGGCTCTGGACCAGGCCATCTGTGCAGTTAAGACTCTATCCTGATTGAGAGAGAATAGCAGACCTAGAAAGAGAAAGGAGTTGGGCAGGGCCTTTGAGGATTGTGTTGTTCAGGCAGGGCCTTGATGATCATTGTTTTTTATTTACATGAGATGTGTGTGCTGGACAGAGACCCGAAAGTTGAGGTCACTAAGTCATTGGAAAGGTCATCGAGGAAACAGATGGGGAAGCTGATTTATGGGAACTATATGGCATTTAGCTACGTAACAGGGGTCCTGGCCAGGAAACACATCAAATTTGACCCCCACTGTGCTGGTATCATCTTCAGGCTTTGGCCTGCAAGATCAGAATTAATCCTACTCAGGACCCCATAGTCCAAACTTGGGGCCACTTGATGAACGATGGTAGACTTGTCATTGGCAAAACCCTGTGCCGCTTTCCTTTTCTTCATAAAATCCACTGTCTGGTCAGTTATCTTCACTTGGAAGCCCAGTTCTTAGTTTCTTCCTGTGGCTTCACTGGTCAGTGTCCTTCTGAATTTCCAAGGTTGGTACACAGTAAATCATGTTTTGTACATTTTTCCTCTTACTGCATTTTGGGGGATTTGTCATTCTATGTCTACTTTTTCTTGAGTGCAACTTTGATATGCACCTTTTTCTTGAGTACAACTTTGATATGTTGTTACGTGGTGATAGGAAGTCAGAGGGCGTGCTCTTCCTGGTTGATTTGATGCCACATCTTCCTTGTCTTTTCAGCTCGGGGAAAAGGCAGCAGTGGAGGAAGGCATATGGAACGCCCACAGTGATCAGTTCAAAGAACAAACCTGCAATTTAAAAACTGTAGTCAACTAGGCATGGTGGTTCACACCTGTAAATCCCAGCACTTTGAAAGGCCAAGGCGGGCAGATTGCTTGAGCTAAGGAGTTCAAGACCAGCCTGAGCAACATGATGAAACCCCGTCTCTACAAAAAGTACAAAAATTAGCCAGGCATGGTGGTTTGCCCTTGTAGTCCCAGCTGCTCAGGAGGCTGAGGCGGGGGGATCACCTCATTCAAAGAATTTGAGACTGCAGTGAGCCATGATCTTGCCACTGCAGTCCAGCCTGGGCTACAGAGAGACCCTGCCTCCAAAAAAAAGGAAAAAAGGTTGTCAAGGAAAACTACATGTAGTAGAAAGGAAAATTTAATTGCAGGGGTTTTTTTCTTAGAGTTGACTGCTGTGAGAGTTCCATATGCCTTTCTTCATTACTGCTTTTGTCCCCCCGAGCTAAAAAGATGAAGGAGTGGCATCAAATCAACCAGAAAAAGTAGACCTTTGTGACATCCCATCACCACATGCCAACAGGTTGCATATTCCCCATTAAGTTCTTTGGAATACGAATCCTCTTTTCAACCTGGCCAGGTGTTGTGGTGGCTGTACTCTGTAGTTAGACTCAGAATATCTGGGGATGGAGGGCTTCCCCTCTGTCTGCTGCTTCAAGGTCTGAAGACTCAGTGAAGGAGTATAACCTGCTGATCTTTGTAGATTCTAGAGTTTCATCGTATATCCTGGGAAGAAAACCATTAGTATTACATGTATTTTCAGTGGAACAGAGCTTATAACCCTTATTATAAGAAGCTCATCAATAGCAAAAAGGTATTTGTGTCCTTTTCTTGGAGGTTTTTCCATCCTTGGGATTTCTACTGTTAGGGATGTTTTAGCAAGTGGTCTCAGTTACTGGTTTATTGCATGATGAACAACATCAGTATTTATCTTTTATCTCTAAGCCCCAAGGTGGGCACTGTTAGAATGTCTCATGTGGACAGCATGTAGATCTGGTGTGTCTTTGAGGACATCAGAGCTCATGGGCTTTCTTGAAATTCATCCATTGTCCCTGCCGTATGCTACGGGAATATTCATTAGTGTACAAAATGCAGGGAGGAAGTAGGTTTAATATTCAACTTTCTAGCCAAAGTTTATATTGAAACCCAAAAGAAAACATTTAAGAGTTGTTCCACATATTTCACTTTTAAAAACAAATGCCTTTGGTTCTTTAGCACATTTTGCATTCCTTTTCACATCTCCAGTAAATGCCAGCATATCTCCTATTAAATTAGCAGCAGCCATTTAAAGTCCTTTCAGTGGCATCTGCATAATAATTGCCCAGAGATGCTTTATATCTGGGAAGCAAGCCAAGGAATAAACCTTGAAGCAAAGTGTATTAAATTAGTTATCTAGTTAGAGCTTTTGGAATGATTTCCTGATGATGTATCAAGTCTAAAGCTAGAGCTGTCAGTGTCTATTGCTGCAGTTTGGGTTTGAAGGGAGAAAATTAAAAATGGAGGAAAAAAAAGTTACCATCTCACAACAAAGCCATCAAACATTTTCCAGCCGCTGTGTTCGAGGTTTTCCAATGGAACTGTTTGGTTTCTTTCATCTGTACTCATTTGGATACATTGACCTGAGGTATTCATCCTTCTTTACTGTGGTCCCTGAATCATGGGGGCTGAATCTGATGTCTTCATCCTTAAGATGAGATGAGCCTGCTGGCTCAGTTGAGGAATGTCCTGCTGAGGTTTCTTTGGTTTCCTTGGGTTCTAAGGATATACTGGATATATCACCTTTTAGCAAGAGTCTCTGGTAGCATTTACAGATAGCATAGACATTAGTATGCACTTCTTTCCCCAGATAGGAAGTAGAGGAGGATTTAGCTGCATGAAAAAAGGATGTTAAACATTGATTACACAGGAGTAAAGATGAATGAGCCGCTCTATTCAGTCGGAGCTAACCAATAAGATCAGGGAAGGTAAAAACACCTATATGGAATATTTTGAATCATAAGCTTTTGAAGAGCTTAAATTGAGAGAATTTTAGTTTTAATTTTGTAGATTGAAGAGAGGAACCACTTTTTAAAACTATAACGAAACTGCCATTGTTTTCCCAAGAGTCACTTGGCTATCTCTGGCCCCCTCTTTCATCAGCCTGAAGAGAGGGTCTATGTAGACTGCTGTGGGCCTTGTAGGACTTGACCACGGCTTACACCTACTTAACTTTTATCCTGCCTTCTTTCAGCTTGTGCTTTTCAGTTGTAAACTCCAGTGGGTACAGCAGGCTGGCCTTTTCATCTGGCTGATTACTTTTCCAGCTTAATATAGATTGACCCATATGAAATTTCCAATAATGGACCATATTTTCTGCGAACAGACAGTGTTCGCATGGATCACCTATATCTTCCCCCGATACAGTGTAGATCCCAACACCAGATGTCATTTCTCCAGAGCAGTGCTAATGAACACAAAAGGTGTACCCTGGGTGGGCCGGCTCTTTTCGTGAACTTGCTGCCCTGCTCATAGGGATCCTTGCATCACTTGGTGAATGGGCCATCTCCTGGGACATGGAAGTCGCAGAGGTAGATAGTGCACTGCAGTTTCTCTTAAGCCGGATTGGCCATCAGGCACATCACCTTGCAGTTTTTAGCTGCTGTCCTTTCCCTGTGAGGAGTCTGTATTAACTGACCTCAGCCTACTTGTTACATGACGTATGGGTCCCAAAAGTGTCCTTTGTCAAAAAGCAGAATGTGCTTTCTAGTCTCTCTTTCCCCATCTAATGGTACATTTGATGGTGAAGATGAGTACAGTTGCCCACCCCTATCTGTGGGTTCCACATCCCTATATTCAACCAAGTACAGATTGAAAAATATTTGGGGAAGAGGGGAAACCCACAAAGTTCCAAAAAGCAAAAGTTGAATTTGCCACATGCTGAATACTACATTGAATTCATGCAAATGAAGTGATGTGTAGGCATCGACTTAGGTATTGTAAGTAATCTAGAGATGATTTAAAGTATACAAGAGATGTGCATAGGTTATATGCAAATACTACGTCATTTTATATAAAAGACTTAAGCATCCATGATATTCTGGTATTCGCAGAGGGTCCTTGATTGCCCCCTTTGGTAAAGGACAACTGTTTCATTACTGATTTTTCATTTGGGGAAGATCTGTCAATCCCTTGAGGTGGGGGGGTTGAGGGGTAGAGGGTACAGGGCATTCTAGGATGTGTGCCAGGGAGCACGTATTCAAGGGATGGGATTGGGTCAGACCTGTGTTCTTCCTCAGTATCAGAAATAACTCTATGGAGCTCCTAGAATAAGAAATTTCTGGAAGCACTACATAATTACTGTTGGGCTCTTAGGGTAGCCATTTTTGGGAATTCAGCGTTTCCATGTTTTACCAACAATTATTCTGCTGCTGTGTTTTATTGTTTTGCCAATGGGTTTTGAGACACTCATCATGCTCTTATTTAGTGATTTCTTTTCATGAGCAGAGCAACAGCTCATCCAGCATGGTTTCCAAATGGAGAAATTCAGGTCTTTCATAGAAATCGCACAAATTTTCCAATGGCCTACAGCTTTATGGTTGGCAAACTAGTTGGCCCTATAGGGTGGCAATAAAGCTGTAAGATATTAAACTGCATTTGATACTTCTCTTGAATGCTGAGCAAGGAAGCAAAATAGTTCTTGTCTTTACTTAAGCTTCTAAGACATTTTGGGGCAAAGGACCTTACAGATGGCATCTGTTGAAAGTAACAGCAACATGTCAGGGAGAAACATGGGGGAAATCTCGTCAAATTCTGCTATCTCAAATGTGTCGTCCAGAAGTCAGTGTTATTCAGGGGGCCCTGTGAAACTTGACCACCAGCTTGCCCCATCAACACTCAGCCTTTATCCTACCTGCTCTCAGCTTTTGTGTTTCTGTTAGAAACTCAGATAGGTAAGTATTTTTCTTCAGCAGACTACCTTTCTTAATCTTTCCAGCTTAATGTAGCTGCATCTTCTTTCTCAAGGCCAAACTGAGATATTCCCTATTAAAATGTCCATGAGCCTAGCATTGAGTATCTGGCATCCATCAATTTCATAGACTGGAAAATGATTGTTTGGTGCAGTAAAGAGGAGGATGTGTATCAGTTCCTACTGTTTGGAACTTTGTTTAGCCTTCCCATTTTAAAAATAAATTCAAGGACATTGAGTTACAAGGCAGAAGGGCTGGAGCTACTGGGCAGCCTGAGTGTGACCAGCATTTGTATAGAAAGTCATTGCTCCTTCTGCCACACTTTGGGCCATCAGGATCATTATTTCCCAAAAATGCCATAAACTTGCCCAAGAATTTCTATAAATGAGGAGCAGGAGAGAAAGGATTTTTGGATCACTCCTGAAGTTGCTATCTAAAAGTTCTCTGTTTCACAAATAATTTTCTGAACTCTGTAATGCCTCTGCTACCCCCTACCTCCCTTTCTGTAATGTCAGCATGATGGGAACCACCAAGTGGCATGCTAGGGAAACCCTGCGGCAGTGTTGGAGTCTATTTCACCCAAGCTCATGCTTTTAAACTGTCTTCACTGTTGAAGTAGAGCTTGATGAATGTCATGGATTGTGATGCGTGATTTATCATATTTGCCTGGATTTGCTGCTCAAAAGCACCATCTTCCCTCACCTGCCACTGGCAGCCTTTCTTGCCTTGCTTGTTAGCAGAGCATTCTGCTTACCCATGTGGCTCCTGCATTTCTTGATTCTTCTCCCCTGTGATCTCAGAGGTGCTGCAGAGCACACTCTCCTTTAGAGCAGGTCATGTTTATATTCAGGCCACAAAACTGGGATGTACATGCAGTGACTTTGGTGTTCCTTGTCTTGTTCAGGGGAACAGGTGGGATTGTTGTGTGCTGTCACCCTCTTCATTCCATGAGCACCTTGTTCACTTAGGGTCTGCTGCCTTTTCTTTTTGAGATAGAGTCTCGCTCCTGTTGCGCAGGCTGGAGTACAGCCTCCTAAGTAGCTGGGATTACAGGTGTGCGCCACCACACCCGGCTAATATTTGTATTTTTAGTAGAGACAAGGTTTCGCCATGTTGGCCAGGCTGGTCTCAAACTCCAGACCTCGAGAAGACCCCCCTCGGCCTCCCAAAGTGCTGGGATTACAGGTGTGAGCCACCGCACCCAGTCTCTGCTACCTTTTCATATTTCCCCATCTGCTTTATGGATCAACTCTCAACAGTACACTTTTTCTTTCCTTTACCTACCTTATGAGTGCAACCCAGATGAAAGAGTTAAACCTCATCAGAGAATCATTGCCTTAAACCTCTCTAAAATATGTAATTAGGGAA